GGTAAAGAAGGTGAATGTTAAGGCTGCAGATGACCAGGTTATCACAGCTGTAAACGTTGACAGAGACCTCTTTGGGCGGCTACTTATTACTGCTAACACACGAAAAATCAATTTGAAGGAAGTTTTGCGCTATGAGTTATCACCAATTCCACGGGCACTCATCACCTTCCTCTTATGAACGATGAACGGTCCCTTATATATGAAAATCGAACCACAGGGGAGTCTCCCGAGAAGAGGTCTAGACACATCCAGTTTTGGAAGAGAATTTATTACCGTTTTATTGCATACATTTAAACGAAATGTGTTGTTTCAAGTTGTCACTAACAAAATCCTCTGCATCTAATACAGTGAACACAGAGATCAGACTATGTGTGATTCTGTGGTCGCTGGCAAGAGATTTTATAATAATGGATAATTCTAAAACCGCCAACACAAAAAATTATCCTCGCTCGCTTGCGAGAGGTGATTGTTAAGTTCACAAAAGGTTCCATTTAAAGAATGCCTTGGCTGGGAAATGAAGGTGGTCGCTTAATCAAAAGGCGGTCGTGTAGCGTGGGACCTGAGCCCGAGTTGGGCCGGACATGCGCAATTTAGTAGACTTACGACTCGTGTAACTGGTGTGCTAGTTTAGTAAAGTGATTCGAACACTAGTTGTGTTATTTGTGTTACAGTCGCAGATTCGCCCTATGCAAAGAAATCCAAGACAGTCTTCTGTCTTCTTCTCCTGGATTCCAGGCCGTGAATTCCGGCTTCGAGGTACTGGATTCCGGATTCTTTATCATTGAAACTTGGATTCCTGAATCCAATCATTAGTGAGATCCAGGTTCCTTGAGCTGTTTTCCGGATTCCAAAGTCCAGGATTCGAGATTTCACAAGCAAAACTTTTCTGGATTTCAGGATCCGGAATCTGAATTTTGGAATCCGGAATCTGGATTCCCTTTTATGGGACATCAGCAGGTGTAGGTAGGTTGGACTGTATTCAGAAACAGCAAAAACAACTGATGTTACGTTTTAAAATTAGTACTCACCGCCTGCGACCTTTCGTTGTCTCGTGAAAATAACACCTTGAAAAACAAACATACATAAATACGCTGACACACAAGCAAAGAAAATAACAAATCAGAACACAGAGAGAGGTTAAGGACAGAGGGCGACTTCATGTAAGAGTAACAGATCAGGATGGTTCGCCCTTTCGAAGGGAACTGCGAAACGTAACAAACGGTTCTGAAGCCACCAGCGCACAAATGGTAAAAGAAACAAACACAAGCAAGCTTTTTTTTCCTTCAGGATTTTCCAGGTTTTGAGATCTTTTCAAACGGAATAATTTAAGACGTATTCATATTTCATACATCCTCTTATGAGTTTTTGTAAAATTCAAATTCCAGGTGCCTTCGCTTTTTGCCGATCGCCATTTTAGTTAACATCGCGTGACGGAAAAGCTCTTAGACGTCATGTATGCAAACTGGCAATTCACGATCACGCTATTTTTTGCGTCACGCCACTGTGGGTTGATGCAAGCCGCGAAAGTCATGTATAAAGTCGTGTTTTCTGAAGCAAAAATATCTAGAATTATGGCAGAAGTCAATACTATTCTGTTAATTGAAACAGAACAGTGCTGAATGACTGCAGAATCACCGAACTTGACTTGGTTGAAAAAATCGAAATCTTTGTTTATAACATTGTCATAAATTTTGGGTTGTTTCTCGATTTGTATCTCGCTCAAAAGCGCTCTATTTTGCAAGCATTTACTGAAGCTTAAACGTATAAAAACGCGTTACACTGGAAATTTTGAATTTAATGGAGACCACGGCTTGTTTGCTGCTAGACAGGACGCGAGGCCTGCCCACCAGAGTCAACATAGCAGCAAAAAGCTAATTTTAAAATTTTATTGTAATACTTGCTAAATCGCCAAACATTAATACGTGTTAGTGCTCGGTCATTGAAACATATGTTGACAAATATACCTACCTAACGTGATAAGTATGAGTCGTTGTATTTGAATCACTTTCATCCTTCACCAACCAGTTTTCCAATATTTTTCATAGAGAACTTATAAGTTTACATGTACGTGCAAAGTTTTATCATTAGGCATGACTCAGGAAAAGTCTAGTGAGCGGTTGCCAAAATCAGGAATGGAAACAGGGAAAAGGGAATATGGAAGGGCAGGCGGAAGTGGAAATTCAAACAGGACTCGTTTTCAACGTAGGATGATATTTTTAAGATTTTCACCTTACAAGTGATTAATAAAGTTTTGTTCTTGTGTCGAATTTAAGGAAAAGAGGACAGAACGTGCACCATACACCTCCGCTTAGGCTCGACTTCAAAGGCCTTCGAATACAGAACTGGCTCAATTGACCATTTGGAGGTTGTACTTGCACTATCGGTTTGAGTTGTGTCAGTCTGTTTCTTCGCTTTCCTGAGCTGTTTATCGCCCCATGTAAGGAAATTTGAAATCTGGGAAATTTGTGCTTGTGGAATCCGAAATACAGTGGACTCCCGATAACTCGAAATCAGGCGTATAAGAAAATTTACATTTAAGTACCAAAGCAACACAAACATTGTTTCATGCACTAGTAATAGGACGTATCTGATTGTATGTTATATTATTGTAACAGTATTCCATATGGTCCTCCGTCCGTACATATAACAAAACTTGAACCCCTTCGAACTCTGGAGCAAGCAGTGCCGGATCCAGACTCTGAGACTAGGGGGGGGGGGGGGGGGGCGGGGGGGGGACAGGTCATCCAGACCCTTAGATGAGGGGGGAACCGGTCTCCCAAAAAGCTTTTTCCGCGCATCGGGCCTCAGTTTGGTCTAAAAATAAAGGAGGGGGGCCCTCCCCTGGATCTGCCACTGGCAAGATTAATTTTCAATAGATCAGATTTTCACATATCACTCCAGTTTTATATTCATTACACTGGCTGCCAGTTAAATTAAGGATAGAAATTAAAATGATTTTTGTTACATTTAGAGCAATTTATGGGCGTGCTCCAAGTTATAGTTGTGAACTTATTAATATCAAGGAAAGTGGGGGGTACAACTTAAGGTCAAACGAAGGAGTCCTCCTACAAGCTCCAATTAGATTTATTACTCATACGACACTTGGTGACCGTGCCTTCTAGCTTGGCTGCGACACCAAAACTGTAGAACAGCTTGCCGGTTAATATTCTTAATGAGGAAAATTTTAATACTTTTAAAATATTGCTTAAGACATATTTTTTTTAAACTAGCTTTTTATTAGGTCCAATAGATATTTTGTAATTTTTTTATCATGTATTTTTTATAGCTTTTTGTTAGTTATTATGCTTTTATATGTGATTTGCATTTGATCATATAGATATCTAATTTGCGCAGTATAAGTAATAAATTTATTATTTACCATTATTATTAAAAGATAATAGGCTTAATATCGTTCTGACTTGTTTTCTTTGGCAATAGGTACGTCATAATTAATGTAGGGGTTAAAAGAAGTCTTGCCTATTAAGAAGTTTTCAACAAAATTACCTTTTAGAATCCTTCTTGATGTACTCTTTCATGCGTTAAGGTTTTCTAAAGCGTCTTTTAATGCCCTGACATCTTCATTCATAAAATTTTAAAACTTCGTCACCACTTGTCACTGAGACGTACGGAAAGTTGCCAGGCCAATTTTGTAATTTCACATGTGAAATTAAAAATTAACGCTGAAATTTCTTGCCAAAATTAAAAAGTAACTGAATTCGTCACCCTTGATATTTGAAAATATAAATGTATAGAATCTTTAAAAGTGCGTTTTTCTTGTTCCAGTCTATCTAGTAATTTTAAAAAATTCAGATTATTTGAAAAATAAAATGTTCGAATCGCGAAAATTAATGCCCTTTTTTCAATTTGCCTATCATTACAGTCAAACCAGGTCAAGCGTTCCCGTCGCTAACAAACTAATGAATTCATTAATGGAAAAATGATTTCGTTTGTTGATTCAATAATCCATTCATAAAATGAATAATCCAACAGTCAAATTGGACCTCGATTCAATAATCAAATGTTGATTTGGTTTATGAACAAAATCTACCTGTTCTTTATTCTTGTCTGTTGTGTTCAATCGTATTTGCTTCCTTTTTCCTGCCGTTTACGATAGCGTTTTTCATTGCCTTTAATCAAAATAACAGCTAGAATAGACAGACCGCAAACGCAAAGAAACTATGAGAAACTGACAAAGGCCGAGGATCGAAATCCACCAATCACCGCACATACACTGACCTTAGTTTGACCGTTGTGTTTTCTAAGAGGTCAGGCCTAGGTCTGTTGCACTGATTACTGGCAGCAAACTGGCGTACATGTAACAGTTTGTTTGGGTTTGAACTTCAGAACTCGCCAGCACTCGACTCTCAGAAAAAAAAGAGGAAAAAACAAAATTCTGAGGTCAACTCGTGGAAAGTGTAGTTTTTCAAAAAACAGTAATCGAATCAACATTCGATTATGGAATCGAGGCTAAATATGAATATTGGATTGTTCATTTTATGAATGGATTATTGAATCAACAAACGAAATCATTTTTCCGTGAATGAATTCATTAGTTCGTTAGCGACGGGAACGCTTGACCTGGTTTGACTGTAAAATCGCGCGAAAAACTTGTTAACATACTGTCTCGCCAAAATCGCGAAATAAAGTACGAAGAAGGTAGCACGGTATTTAGAGATTACGAAAGAGTAAAAGGTACAGCAAAGATACACGAGGCGAACTCTTTCAAACTGCAACTGGAAATTAAATCAAGCGCATTCTAGAATTTCTTGTCAACATAATTTAATTACCGTCGTAGATTTGGCGCCATTAAGTGCCGGTTTGCTTTCCTGTTTTAAGTGTTCGTTGATGACAAACCCAATTATCTGCTCAAACAATCTTCCTTGCCCAGGATGTTATAATTACTAAAAGCGTTTTGGTTTCTGTATAAGGCCCTGTATTAATAAAAAAAGAAACTAAACGTCCTTTAACCAAAATTAGCGAACATCGCGTGGCGTGTGCCCATGAAGTTTATTGAACTGAAAACAGCTCATTTCGTAACTTCAATGTTACTACTCCTGATTTGTGAAGGTGAGTAAATTGGACGTTAACTTTTATCTTTTGCCTTATGATGATGTTGTTATAACTTGAATTGAAAAGATGAGAAGACTTCTGCATTTGTTTAAATTGTCGTTCAAAAGCACTAGGCTTAACTCTTTTAAAATTATTATTACAGCAAAATTTTCATTCGGTAAATAACACCATATTTTTATTAAAATGGGCGCACTTTGTCACTGAAGCAAAACAAAACAGCTTTAGAAAACCTTTAAAACATTTCTTTTATGCCAGTGTTATTTTATTATTTGTTGAATTGTGAACGTTGAAGTAAAATTATACAAATATTAGGAAGGAGAATGGCTGGGGCCACGCGACATCTATTCACGATGGCTGCTATATTTGATAATTAGCCACCATGCATAGCGTTTGTGTCGTTTAGAATTTTTCGTTGTCGAAACACAAATTTGAACATTGGAGACCTTTAGATTCTAATATAAGGACGAACGAATACCAGGACGAAATTTTCTCAACACTAAGCAGTGCGCGCGCGTGAAACATCGTCATTTTGGCGGGAAAACGTGATAGCCGTCGTCATTCTACTAAAGGGTTTTTAAATAAATAAAATAATTAAATATACCGTTCATTTGCCACATTGCAGAAGTAACTGAATTAAAGGGCTATAAATTAACAATCAACAAATAATTAACACTACTACTACTATAGAAACAATAAAAATATCTTAAATAACTATTTACATATTCACATATTTACTAGCGAATGAAATAAAGGAACCTGAACGCTGGGTCCGACAACAACTCCTATCAGCGTAAACAATATTTCTATTGTTGTCGCTGGCCCGCAAGTTGTAACTATGACTACTAATTGCTGTTCTCGGCTTGAGGAAGTTAATAGGGTGGTCATTTTGAGTCATCTTCTAAATATATTTACAGCAGAGCTGAGTTCGTCTTTCTTTCAAGCTGCTCTAAGTAACTATGGCATGGATGGATAATATATGGTGCCCTTAATTTCTTAAAATTGACTCCAGTTTATGTTAAAGAAATTCAGGAATATCTTGCCATTTGCACGCCATATTCTAGTATAGGTCAGTATTATTGTCAAGTAAACTTTGAGAATTCTCTCTCTATTAACACCCACTTTTTAAAGAATCCTCAGGGAATATAGGCGTTTCGAAGCTTTTTTCGATAGGTATAATCAATATGCTAGTTCCACTTTAAATCATTCCTGATAATAATACCGAATAATTTATAAGTTGTTACACATTCAACTGTGTTGTTACCTAGGACAGTTGGTCTTGTAGTAAAATTATCTACTTGCAATATTAAAAAAAAAAATTTAAAAAAAAATTTTCATTTTGCATGAAGTTAATTAACATTTCTTTGCACTTTTTGGCAAGAATGAAGTGCCAAAAACAAGTTATCAAATGTTAGAAATCTTATCATTTTCCAATCGGGAGAGGACTCAAACTTTAGCACTAAGAATACCACGACAATCGACTTAGTTAACGCCATGCCTTTTTAATTATTTGCCAGTGCCAAAATACTAGGCCTCAATGCCTCTAGTGATTTGAAATGGAACTGTCACATTGATTCCATTATCAAGAAACCTAAGAAGCGCCTGTATAGTTTATCTCATGATCAGCTTAAACGCTCTGGCCTAATTACACGGGAGCTAGTTCAGTTTTTCTGCACTTGCATTTGCCCCGTCACGGAGTAATGTATGCATGTCCTGCTTTTCACGACAGTCTTCCCGCTTATCTCTCCAATGAACTTGAGGGAGTGCAAAAGTGGGCCATGAGCATTATTTTCCCTTTCTGCCCGTACGAAGTGTCTTTGGTTGAATCAGGCCTAACTAAACTTTCAGACCGCCGCCAGGAACTTTTAGACAAACTTAGTATTTAAGAAAGTCGTACATATCAAAGAGAATAAACTCCACAGCCTTCTCGCTGATCTAATACCTCTAGATCGAACCCCCAAGAACACACGGAAATTTAGGCCCGTTTTTAAGACGAACAGATTCCGTAATAGTTTTATTACTTCCAACGCCCTCAAAGTTTAAACTGTGTTTCCGATCATAGTTTTAGAAGTTTCGATTGCTTTTTATCATGCCGATTTTCATTTTTTATTTTTTAACAAATCATAATTTTCCTGTGGTGTATTCATGTATTGTTTTTATTATTCGTTTCTTTTTTTCATTTTTTTTTTTATAAATTAGCTTATTAGTGGTAGTCTTTTTAAATCTGTTATCTTTCCGAGTTGAACTGTTTTTCAATCGTATGGTTTTCTATAAGAGCATCCGACAAGCGCAAATTGGAAAAGAATGCAAGAGAAAGGCTTGCGAGCGGTATTTAATGACAATACATCAAGTTACGAGAGCTTGTTGAAGAAGGCAACCCTACCAACTTTATATAACAGAAGACTGCAAGATTTGGCAATTTTGATGTTTAAAGTTAAAAACGGAATGTCTCCAGATTATATTTCTGAGCTGTTTCAAAGATCGGACACTACGTAATTCAGTAACTTTATGATTCCTAGATTTAACACGATAACTTTTGGTAAATATTCTATAAAATATCTTGGTCCGTATCTATGGCGTAAATTACCGATAGCCTTAAGAACGTTAACTGAAACTGATAAATTTAAAAGAAAAATTAGGGAAAGTGATTTAGCCGGTCACTTGACGGAAGACAAATATAGTTCGGAATGTTGTCGGAATGCACCTTATGCAGCCTCGTACCCAGGCCAGTTCGCGGTATCCGAGTTACCAAAGGAGGCTTGGAAACGAGTGCGATAGCGCGAAGCCTTCCTCGGTGAATTTTCCAGACAAGCTTGACAGGTGACGTCACATCCGAAATCGCCGTGGACGACTGGGAACGAGGCTGCACCTTATGTAGTTCTTAAATCTTTCTTGCTTTGTATATCTAGCCGGATTTATGAACACCGCACAAGCTGGCTCCTCGAGGCCGCACACCTTAAACTGACTCAACTAAAGTAAATATCATACAAAGAAACTGAGGTTCTCTTAAGGTGACTCTCTTCTTAGTTTCTGATTAGCAAAGAAACATCACAGTCCATCAAAAGACACTCTCGACTTGACCATACACTCTAGCTACTCCCAAGGCTCTACATGACAGAGGATGCTTGAGACTTAAGCAAGTTTCAAGCAGAGAATTCAAGGCCACATCACCCCCCTGACTCCGCCCCCCAGCCTAGCACGTGCTTGGGGGGAGTGCTTTCATTGGCCAATGGGCCTCAAACATTAAAAGAGTTTGACACGACAAACTTAAGGAAGACCCTGATGCGTGCACTGACTCTCCCAGAGCAAGACTAACGGACAGTACCACGCTTTTGCAGCACCCTTTCCCCCTAGGGGTTGACATGGAGGCCCCTTCCCACCAAATGGCGAGTTAGCTCAGAGACTGAGCTTGACAATGAGACCAACCAGGACGGCAAGCCCCCTATGTTTATGCTCACCACAGTGACCAGAAACCTGGCTATTGCCAGTTTCTTTTCGAATATTCCGGTCCGTTATCAGAATTGTTTTCCAAAATTCGGCTAGATATATGAATTACTTATTTATCTATTTATTTATTCATTTATTATTTATTTTTTCTTTTTAACTGTAAATATTTGATTTTTTGCTGTAGATATATATCTTTTTATTTCATAGTGTCGACAATTAGCTTCACATCTAAAGTACCTGACACTTGAATAAAGTTTAGTAGTCGTCGTCGTCGTCGTCGAGTTTAGTAGTCGTAGTAGTAGTAGTCGTCGTCGTCTTCGTAGTCATAGTCGTAATCGTAGTCGTAGTAGTGGAAGTAGCTAGTAGCATTTTTAAGTAATCGTAATTATTTGTAACGCTAATCGCCTAATTCAACCTCTCAGTTGAGATGTAAGTAAACTGTCTATCTATCTATCTATCTATCTATCTATCTATCTATCTATCTATCTATCTATCTATCTATCTATCTATCTAAATCTTAAAGTTAATTGTTGTCCTCGTAATCGTGCTCGTCCTCAAATGTAAAGGTTTCTGTATATACACGGTTCCAGGGTTTAGTGTTTCATACTGAAAACCTCGCAGAGACTCCCAATTTGACTCATGATAATTAAATAGGTCGTTCCTTTGTTCAGCGGTATCGCAAGATAAAATTTCAAGTTCGCGTGGACAATTTTGGCTTTAGTACAGTTTGGTTAAGTAATTAATTAAAAAAACTAATTTGTGCTCAAGAAGCTAAGAGATTAAAGTTAGCATCTGAACTAAAATCTACATAAAAAAACAACCAAGTTAAACTACAAGCCGTTCTATATAGATCATGAAAACAGTCACATGCCCATTGCAATAATTTATGTAACGAACAAACCACTGAAGGCGGAGAGAAATAATTCTTAAGCCCCAAGCAAACGGATATTACATTATACAGTTAATGTCAGATCCCGAGGGAAACAATTAGTTTTGTTTTCCGTCGAGTCCTGATGTTCCCCGAGACGAAGTCAATAAAAAAAGAAAAAGAAAACTGACAGGACCTGGCAGTGTTTTTCCCGCCTTTTGTCACGCCCCTTTCCACCATGCTTTGATCACGTGCTGTAATGTATAGCCCGAGCGGGGTACATTGCTTTCCACCATGCTTTGATCACGTGCTGTAATGTATAGCCCGAGCGGGGTACATTGCTTAATGTATCACGATCGGGATACATTGGATTTTAGTCAAGACCACCTGACCAAGAATCAACCAATGGCACGCCCTGTTTAGTTGAGTGAAACTCTAGGAATTTAACAATGTTGGATGTTACATGTTGCGTCCGTTTGCGCATCCTTTTGCATGTTGTTGCGTGTTGCTGGGAGTTGTTGCGCAAAGCTTGAAGCGGGTCAAACTTTTAAGCCAACAACTGCCAACATTTCTTTTGTTTCTTGATCACCAAAGCGTAGCACAACAATGCTGAATCCGGCCGTTGGAACATGTTGGCGCCACGCACGCGCGTTTCACATGGCCTACAAAGTCTTAAGGTTGTATCCTTCCCAAGATGCACTGCAGCCGGTCCCAACATTATTGGAAGTTGTTGCACACCTGTGCCAACACAGACGCGATAATTCCCAACATTCTTGGCCCAACAGCAATGTTGAGAATGTTGGGAGTTGTTGGGTCCGTTTGTACGTAGCTTTAGTAAATACGAAAGCAGCCGCGTAGCAAATGCAATACTCACAATAGCAAACTTGATCATTCTACTGCGGTGAATGTCATTGGATTTAGCCTCTAAAAATAATGCTAACGCAGACTCTTTACTACTGCTTGTCTTCTGTGTACGTACATCACTGTCATGTTTCCAAATTCCTTGTTTATTAAAGCTAATATCATGGCAGGTGTCCATATTATTGTTTATATTGAAGCTAAAATCAACAGCAACAACAATGTTGGCTGTGCGGTAAAATGAAACTGTACATAATGGCAAGGTTTAATTCTAAATTGAAAGTCTTTATTTATGTAATTACATCCACAAATTCAGTTAAAAAGAAGAAACATTTTACTTTAAAGACTGCGATAAATTGTTACAGTAAATTGAATCCATTTTAAGAAATAATCCATAATAATAAAAATAGTTAAAAACACACGGCATTTCGACGTTCTCGAAAGTCGTTATCAAGTCAAATGAAAACGTACTGTTAGGTTTTAAATAAATACAAGGAAAAAATAAACAATCGATTATCAAAAAGAAACCTAACATATAAGAATATGTTATAAGTTGATAGAAAAAGCTTATCACTCTTACAACCTTAATAGTTGTTAGCGTTGGGGGGGAGTAGGTTTGAACGTGGCCGGCGTTGACTTGAACCTCTCAAGGCAGCGCTCAATAACAAGAAAGAGGCATGGGAAATTTAAGGTGGAAAACCAATTACCAATGAACCAACTACTTGACTGAAACTTAGGACGCAAGCGGAGGGACATCCTCTCTTTTTTTGCTGGGTCTTGCTTTTTATTTACTTTAATTAGTTTCTAGAATGCAGACTACTGGTAAAGATTTAAATGGCGTTAACACGCTTTTATAGACAAGAGGGTGGACCAAAGATGGAAAATCTCCAAGTCGCTTTTTTCTTTGTTGTTTTGTTGTTAATGTTTAAAATTTTGTGTTGGATTAAAACAGACACATAAAAACTGATCAGATCTTCTTCGGATCCCATGTTCTGCGTCATACTCGTTCGGGTCCTTTTAAGTGTATTACTTTTTGGATAAAACAGCAGGATTGGATGTCAGCATTATATAAAAAGTACCAAGTCATCATAATAATGATGATAGCAATAATAATAATAATAAAAATAATAATAATTATTATTATTATTTATTATTCATAATTAGTTTATTATTAAGAAATGTATTTGGGAAATCGTTATTTATGATCATTGCCAATTTTTCATGATATATGCTACAGTTGTTAGGGTTATATCTTGGTCAATTTTTATTTCAAATATTTCTGTAAATTATATACATATTTTCAAAGTTAAATAAACATATTTTTATCCAAAAATTATAAAAATTATTATTATTATTTTATTCTGTTTTTCACCACCATTAGATGCCTCATAAAGGATATTTGCCTGCAACGAATTGTCAGTATCAATCTTTTCTATTTAACTTGCTTGGCATTCAACCTACTTCTAATTAACATAATTATATAGCTTGTCGAGGTCCATGAAACTTTGTTGTTTGTAAGCCAGAATATAGATGGGTTTTTATCTTCTACTAATAATGTCAAATTTGTTCCTCCTGATTTGTGAAGGTAAGTAAATAGGAAGTACTGATGTTTACATGTGTCGGGAAAGGTGTCCATGTATCAAAATTGAATTTAACCTGAATAACAAACATTCGTTTTTTTATTGTTGTCCGTCTTCCATGAATCTTTGTCCAATGAAAATATTCCCGGTTGTACACTTGAACTCTTAAAGCTCTTGTGCTTCTAGCTTTAAATACAATGACTCAGAGCGATCATGAAGTAATAACTTTTTCTGGTTAATATAAAAACTGTGACACACTTTGTAATATCTGCTTTTAGTATTAACATTCAGGTAATTGACAACTAGTATATAAAGCGTAAACCACAGTTAAATTTACCACAAGGCAAAAAAAATTTAATTTGTAACAACATTAACTGCGAAAATATTCCCGGTTGTACGCTTGAACTCTTAAAGCTCTTGTGCTTCTAAGCTTCTTGGCGGAAGCCTCACGGTAAAATGTTTTTCTTTTGTAATTTACGTGTATTTATTTATTCATTTTTTTATTTCTTTATCGATTTTTTGAAAAATGCTGCTTTTTGGTAATGCTAAAAATTCGAGTCTCTAAGGATCCAAGGAACAGTTTTTGAAACGTTTTGAGGACTTTTGTCAAATATCTGGCACGTTTTAGTGGCGTTTCTCCGCCATGCAGTGAACAACTTGCAATAAACTCAGTCATAATAACGATCGAAAGCATAAGGCTTGGTTGTTGTTTGCAAAGCTTATTTTAAGTCGGTATCATCTTCTTTAGAGAGTTAGAGTCAGGTGACCCAGTTTAATTTTCATTTTAGGGCTTCTTCATATGAGCCCGGTTGACCGGTCTGGCCCAGTTTCCGAGATCTCACCGTACCTCTAAATCCTTTGTAAAATTTTCGATGTGTTCATATGAGAGGGCGGGCTGGCTCGATTCTTAGCTGGATCTCGTTATTAAAGTGGGCTGGAAATTTTGCCATATGAACAGTTCAGCCCGGTTACCGGGATGAAGTTTTCGAATGAATTCTGCATCGTCTTGCTTTGCCTTTTGTATTTTCCACATCATAAGCATCCCATTTGACATCAGTGATACAGCTACAAGAGTTGCTAAAGTTATAATAGGCCGAAACTTATAACTTTGTGTTTCGCCATGTATGCTTTTTTTCTCGAATTTCGCGTCACAACTCGTCTTCGGCCTTTTGTCATCTCGGAAACCGGGCTGAAAATTCTCGTATGAACCCAGAAGATGACATTGGTAACGGTAAGCGGACCAGCCCTGTCAACCGGGCTCATGTGAAGAGGCCCTGTCTGTTCCAAATTAGGTAAAGATCGTAGGACGACGATCAATTTCATATCCTTAAAATACACCTGAAATAGTGTCATGATGGTATACCTCAACTTGTAATTTATCCTGAGTCGGTCATTCTAAGTTTTCCTCATAAATTACATTGGCCTTCGGAGTAAGTAGGTGTGCTGAGCGGAATTTTCCAGATAACGGCAGCTTTGTACAAAGTATTGTTTTGAATAATGCCAAAATGCTGGGTTTGACACCCCTCCACGAAACTAGTGTCTCACCAGTGCAGGAGCGATATAATTTATAGCCGATCTTCAGTGATTATATACAAGCCAGGAATTTTTAATAAAACTTGCTAACGATTAGAAAAGGAGTTACCAAACATCATTATATATTATTTGTTTATTTTTTTTATGAACATAGTAATTACCAAGAATATAATTGCAGATTCTGCCTTGCGGTGTAACATTTGCGACTCTGAGAAATCGTGGAATCACTGCGAGGAAAACAGAATTATTGTTGATTGTTCCAGTGCGGACCCAGATTTCGACGTTTGCTTTAAAGTCCATATAGCTGCGAAGATGGCAGATAACTCTGAGAAGCACTTCTACAGAAGAGGATGTGGGTATCAAGAGTTATGCAGTGGCGAGCAATGTAAAAACGGAGACAGGTGCGTAGTGAACTGCTGCAATACCGACAACTGCAATGCTTCGTTGGTGGTAAAAGCTTCCATCTACTTGACGTATTCGTTAGCTGGAATATCCATCTTCTTCCATTTGCGTTAAAAGAGATCCAAAATTCTTTCTTTTCCTTCAAGTGCAGGTTGATTTTTGAGGGCAAAGCAAGTTTAATGGCTCATATTATTCAACATTGTTGCATGTAACTATATTAAAAGGAGGGTATGCTGCTGGATAGTGTTGGATGGGTCTTCAAACGAACTCAAACATTCTTTTTATTACAAATGGTAGCCGGCGTGCCGACGATGGCGACAATCAACTTTTTTTGTTGAGAATTGTTACTCAGCCCAAACAAACAACTACTCTCTGGGTGTTGTCGGCCAATAGTATTCTTGGTCGTTGTGAAGCACTTTGAAATATACAGATTCATACTGAATATTTTCACACATATTCCACACATATGATAGGTGAGATAAAAAGAGGAAACACAAGGTTCCATGCACTAATCGGGTCGATTTACACAGCTTTGATCAAAACATTCTCAGTTTCGAGAATATATTTCATTCTAAAATATAAGAAAAGATTTCATTAGAAGTGGTTATTTTTCGCTTTTTCTCTTGCACTTTTTACTATGTACTTATTTCACAAGCGGCTAGAAGTACTGTCCATTTATTATCTCGCAAAGTAACGCTTTAGAGTGTTTCCACTCACGTGGGAAGCATCTATGCAAATTTATTGGAACAAAAGAAGGCGTTTGCATAAGAAAAGAGCTCAACTCCCACAGGACTGGTTTGGAACACCAACATGGCTGCCGTTTCATTGTTTTGGGACACCAATATGGCCGCTGTGACGTCATGTGAAAACACTCCTTAAACAGCTCGGGACTACGAAAAAACGCGACGCAGGGGCAGGACCAAGAGGGGATCCGGACTTATCGATTAACATTTCGTTTGAACTTTTATTCAGGAGACATTTACATTTAAATCTGTATTTTGGAGCAAAGTGTAGTCCCCTAAATTTTCCCTTGTTTGTATTTCCTCTGTAAAGTGCAACAGACCATTGCTTAAATTTCAATCAATTACCATTGGGACACACAAAAAGAGGGTGGTCTGCCTGTTGGAAATACAATGTGCCGAACACATTGTTGACATAATATCTATAGATCTGGTTATCTTAGAATGGAACTTTTCAGTATAAAAGAAACTGAAATGAACGGGAATAACAAAAATTGTGAGAAAAAACAATAAACAAAATTTCTAGTAAATAGAAACTCGCTAATGTTTTATACCAGTTACCGGGCGATAAATGAATAACACACGAGATCGACGCCAAATCGATGTGCCAGCCGGTCCATCATGGCGCCCAAACCGTAAAATCATAAGGTATCCAGAACAATCCCCGAGGGAAATTGTAAATCCCACGGGGGAAAGACACGACTTGGATAGTAAGCGTTCTCTTTCGTCGAACGCAAAAATTCCATGGAAATGACCTTTGGGGGAGGAATGTGGCATTCCCAGCCTTGACTAGTGGACTAGTTAGGATTATTCAGATATTTAAATTTTATTTTTAAAACATACTGTTAGTCCCCATTGACAAAACATGACAAAAACATAAATCAATATCAATTTTTCTTAGTTATGATCAGTGCACGATCAGGTCATAATCTTTAGTAATACGGTATTGAGAGATCACGAAAAAGTGGAACCACTATACGGTCTCATCAAGAAGCAAAATATTCCAGCGAACTCTTTTGAACTGTAGGGAAAAGGAAAGGTTTAAGGCTCATTCTAGAGTTTCTTGTCAACATAATTTACTTACTATCGTAGATATGGCGCCATTAAGCGGTTCGCTTTCCTGTTTTAAGTGTTCCCCACAATCTTACTTGCCCCATGTCACTAAAAGCGTTTTGGTTTCTGTTTCTCAGTGTATTAATTAAAAAGAAACTAAACGTCATTTAATAAAAATAACAAACACCGCGTGGTGTGTGCCCATGAACTTTATTGTTTCTGAAAATGAACAGGTTTCATTTTGTTACTTCGATTTGTGAAGGTGAGTAAACCGGAGCCGTAAATCTCCTGCCATGTTATGATTATCGAATTGAATTGAAGATGAGAAAACATACAGCTGTTTCGAGAAAGGTTGTCGAAAAAAGTGCACGCGACAATCCCGAAAGGTATTGTGGAGTGATTTTTAGTTCACCGTTTTTCAAATAAATTTCAAAGAATGGCACGAGAGGCCGTGGACATATATTTGCGAGGGCTAAAGGAAAGCAACAAAAGTAGGTTCGACAGCTACAGTGTCAAGAACAACTGTATTGAGGCCTGGCGCACGCTACTGGTGTACACGGCTAAGAATCTCACATCGTTTGGCTCTTATGAACTTATTAAAACTCAGATCGCATCGATATTTGGCAAGAAGTTAAAGTTTATAAACAGCTTTTCATTGAATATTTTTTTTTCTGGCTGTAAGACCAAAATAAAATTGAAATATGAAAAATATGGCTCAAAATGGGACCATTTTTTAACAGCTCGCGTAACATTTACAGTCTAACCACGCATATCGTGAGATTTCTCTGTTTCTGTTAATGGTACTTTGGAAAACTTTCTCCGAAGAGGTCAGTGACTTATGATTACTAACTGTATTAAAAATTACTCAACATAATGGTAAAACAACAAAGTTTAGGGCGTTTTCAGAAAGATGTTCTGTCTACATACGATCTCTGTGCAGCGCGAACGTCAATTTAAAAGATTGCTTTTCATTGACTTTCTGTTGTTGTTAAGAGAAGAAATAATAATTTTTGGAATGCTCATAAGTTAAACCTTCCTTATAGACTAACTGTTAAGACTTCGGGAAACCCATTTTTACACTAAGATCAAATATGTAAGGTTAGACAGCATTTTTTAAAAAAAAAAATCGTAAACCGTGCGTTGGACCGAAAATCGGATTCTAGAGTGTGCTTTGGCATAAAGATTTTGTGCCTAAAATGTGCCTAAGATGTGCATAAAGTGTGCATTTTAGTTTTGAAAAACGTGCCTAAGCCGTGCCTAAGTTGTGCCCAAACTGTGCCTAATCTGTGCACAAGTTGTGCCAAAATATTGAGTCACTCGGAAAATCGTGTCCAGCCTATCGAGCTCCACAGCGAACGAAATGGGCGCACGGCAATTATGTCAGTTTTGAGGTTTACGAAGTCTAGAAACACGGTCTGACGACCTTTTTATCCCCTAATAAGAAATAAAATGACTCAGAATACGGTTAGAGACAGCAGGGAAAGCCCCGACAAACAGGAAAATGGAATCTTAAACAGGTTAGCGTATTTAAAGTAAGTGCTCAGCTCAATTACATTGTTGATATGCTAATTTCATCCATGTTAAAAAATTTCCAAGCAGGTTTCTTCTCCCCTTCTTAACGGAGCGTTTAGTTGGAACGAAATATTTGTTTTTTTCAGGAGGGCAGATTTGCATTCAAAAAAAGAATTTACTTGTGATATGACTTTTAAAATGAAAACGAAAAAATTGATTGCACGCCGATGAGTTTTGAGATAAATGGCACGTCTCATCGATTATTATACGATCAAAGTTTAATTTGCTAACAGAGCCAGAAAACAAAAACAAACAAGCAGCTTGAATTATTTTACTACTAAGTGTAAGTCCTACTTTTTTAGTTAGAGAAAAATTTTTAAAAAGCAGCCGCATTTTGTATTTAAAAAACAACACGCGTTTGCATGAAGGTTTCAAATTACCACTTTGTACTTTTCATGTTGTTATGCAAATTCAGGCCAATTTTACCGCCATCGCGAAAAGTATTTTCTGCGACTTTTATTGGCTATTTTTGTGCCTTACTTCTTTAGCTTTGTTTTTGTTATTATGGCTTCGACTTTCTTTCACGATTTCTTTTAGAAACGAAAGAAAGCGAGTCTATAAAATTGCATGGCAATCGAAAAGGTTCAGACCAGCACTTTCGCGTGTGAATTTCCACTTTATCCTCGGAGTAAACACGGACTGTCGAAGAATACTTTAATTTTCCAGACTTTCGGCGCGGCTCAAAACTTACACTTCCTATACTTCTAACTGTATCGTGTTTGATCTGAATTATTTTGTAATTCGTACCAAGTTTGTTCTTTTTTGCAAGTCGGGTTACAAATTAAAGATTTTCAAAAAAGTGCCTTGCATGAATATTTGTGCCTAAACCGTGCCTAAACCGTGCCTAAACTGTGCAAACTGTGCAAACTGTGCCTAAGGGCCCGTTTACATGGAGTGGGGGACCCCGGTCTAGTGGGGTAAGTTTCTTTTGTTTTCACGCTCTGGGGGACACAAAACAAAAGAATCTTACCCCACTAGACCGGGGTCCCCCACTCCATGTAAACAGGGTCTAAAATGTACCTTAGCAATATTTAAAACGTGCCTTAACTGTGCCTAAAGTGTGCCTAATCTGTGCCTTGGCATGTTTTTTTCCCGTGCTTTGGCACAAAAACCGTGCCTTTTCTTGAGCGCGAATCGTGCATAAGGCACGGTGTTACGCTCGTGTACACCAGTAGCGTGCGCCAAGCCAACTGTTCGGGGGATCGTGATGTCACGCGCGACATTTGATTCCATACATTTACTATTCAAATGATCGGTAGAAATGCTTCATAAAACAAAGAATTTTGCACCTTTTGATCCCAAATGTTGATATAATGTAAGTTATCTTTATTTATTTTTCTTACATTATACCTAGTGGCTATTCGTACCGGACCTGTACATCGACTTGTATTTGATATGTAGAATAGAGATAAATCCAAACCAGAAAAATATATTAAGCTTGCCTAATTTTTATATGTGATTTCGCAGACAAAAACCTGTAATTGCACGAGGCTTAAAAAGGCTTAATATCATTTTCATTACTTTACCTGTGTTTTGTTTTCATCATGGCCCTGGTCCACCGGCCAGGTATGTGAGGTGGTCATGCCCTCCTTTGACTAACGACACAGTCAGGTGGTTTTGCCCGCTTGTTTCCAGGGGACTCATGGATTGGAATAAAACGTGTTTTTCGAGTAATTTTGTGATCAGATATCTGAATTGAATCTGAAGCTTTCGTTTCAATACAAGTCATAAAGTCGTATAGCTGTGTTT